TTCAGCAGCTCTCAAAGATGGAGGTGGAGGACCTGCTGCGGAAGGGTGCCTACGGCGCTCTTATGGACGAGGAGGACGAAGGATCCAAGTTCTGTGAGGAAGACATTGATCAGATCCTCCAGCGCAGAACACAGACCATCACGATCCAGTCTGAGGGGAAGGGGTCCACCTTTGCTAAGGTGTGCTGTGCTCCACTGGGGGGGAAGGACAGATGTACTTGGGGGGCTCTTTGGGTGAAAGCACAGCTGAATGGTGGGTTGGAGGTTGGAGGAATGATACCTGGAGGTTCACTGCTCTTCTTTCACTCCTAGGCCAGCTTTGTAGCATCAGGAAACAGAACTGACATTTCCTTAGATGACCCCAACTTCTGGCAGAAGTGGGCGAAGATAGCAGAGCTTGACACAGATGCCAAGAACGAAAAGGTAGGATCCAACTTGCAAGCACACACTGTGCTCGTCTGCCCTGCAACGGACCTGACCACTGCCTGGTGTGGTACGCCTCCTCCCCGTCCTCCAGACAGGAGCTGTGGGGCTTCTGCTGCGGAGTTGCTGCCACTGGGCTCATGAAGAGTTGCATTTCAGTGAGAGATCAGGGACGGTAGCAATGGAAGAGTGACCCATAAAAGCTGGCTAAAGCCCTGATTGCTCTGAAGCCACGTTTTAGGTGGGTCTACCTAGTACATTTTGGGATGCCCTGGGATGTGGTGGCCATCCTGGGAGCGCAGCCTGTGAGACAGCAGGTCCGTGCCCTCAGCTGCTCCCAAGCCTAGTTAAATTGGGGAATGATTGGGGCTGGCAGTATGCAAGGAGAGGAGAGGAGGAAACAGTCAGAACTTGACATGCTCATGAATCAAGCAGGCTGATGCGACTGTGTGTGGGAGGTCTGGAGCTGTGCTGGAGCTCCCAGCAGCAGAGGGGGTGTGAACACCTCCCACTGCCAGCTGGGGTGGGTGCTGGCAGCCCGGGCAGCTGTGGCTGAGGGTCCGGCTGTGGCATAGAGCAATGCCAGGGTTGTCCTGTGCCAGGTCTGATCTCCCAGCTCCCTGGCTGGCCAAGCCCTCACCACGCCTGGAGGCATGTCTCGTTAGCTCGAGGCACACCAAGGCCAAGCTGCCATACGCCCTGCCCAGGGCAAAGAGAGGCCCAAGTGCCGGCTTTTGCTGTGGCTGGGAATTGATGGGGTGAGCAAGACTCTTCCCACACTCAGGGGAAGCTGAATAGCCACTCTCCAGCCCAAGCCTGTGTCCAAGTGAGCCCCAGCACCCTGGAAGGAGGGGAGCGTTTGGGCTGGCAGCTCTGGAGCAAGCCTAGCGAGCTGGACTGCGGGACTGTCCGTCACCCTCAGTGCACTGAAATGAGCTTGTATGCTCCAACCCTAGAAGCCCACCATGCCTGGCACATTCGTTTCATCACAGCCCTCCGCCATTCCTGTCATGACCCTGCCACCCCAGGTCTCCCTGGCTCAGTGGAGCAAAGGAAATGGGGTTTGTCATGGTGAAGCTCAGCAGGGTGCCCTGGCTCTCCTGGTGGCTGGCAAATAGTGAGGAACCCAGGCATGCCCCGAGACCCACTGGCCCTAGTACACTCTCCTCAGCCGGTATGGCATCGAAGGCCCTTGGGACCATGGCCATATTCAGGGCCCACCTCAGCGGTGAGTCCAGCCATTTAGTGAACTAGAAACAAAGTTGATTCTGAGGGGGAGCAGGTAACATCAGAGCATCCCTTGGGTCTGTCATGCATCATGCAGGCCTGTTTAATTCCAAGGTGAGCATAATTATCCCATAATAGCCACACTCCCCTATTGTGATTTATTCTTGGTGTTTAATGTGTGGGTTCCAGCAGCAGCATGGGAGGATATTAAGGAGCTGTGGTGGCACTGTGGTGCTGAGAAGCTGCTGCTCAAGGCACTTGTGTGCACTAGCACCCCCACATCCCAGCCTCTCACAGGTTTCACTGACTATGGGGGGACCCCTGGACCAGGGAGTGCCTTACTGAGTGGGCACTGGGCTACTGGTGCTATAGTGGGAGTCCCATACTGGGAGCCCTTGTATTGGAGCAGGCAGTTGGTGCTTGCTGGAACTCAGCACCTCTTTGCAGGGGAAATGTCTCTTTCTGATGAACACGGTGATCCTGTGTGGGCCGTGAGGTGCCATGCTGCTTCTCTGCCTTGTTTGTGCTCACAGATGAAGGCGGGTTGCAGGGAGGCTGAATGACGTGGCTGGAAGTGCAGTGGCCCTGGGTTTGCAGAGCATGGCTGTATGTGGGTGCGGGGCCTGGTGTGGGTCTCAGAGCTCTTCCCCAGGGTAGAGCAGGGTGGCAAAGAGGCTGCCAAGGGCTCTGTGCCTGCAGGGGGATGGACACAGCTGCACATGGTGTCTGTAAATGCTGCTTTCTCCGCTTTGCTCAACTTCCCATATTTTCTGGGCAAAAGGAAGCGAGCCAGGTCAGCCCCGCGGCCAGTGCTGTACCGCCGTGTTTTTGGCCCTGGCAGTGCAAGGAGTGGGAGGCATGAGAGGAACTCTGGCTCGGGCAACTCTTCCAGTAGTTCCCCTTGCTCTTGTGGTGCCAAATGCTCTCTTAGGCAGCCTGTTGGATATTTCTCACATCCAACAGGATACTAGCCACATCAGCCTGAGTCCGTGGGGTTGTTCAAAGGTGGCGTGGGTCAAGCCCAACATCCAAGCTTTGCTTACTATAATCAAATTGCTCTAAAAGCCAAACACCGTACCACTCCACCGCCATCATGGAGGATTGTATTACTCTTTTCTCCATCTGCAATCGCAGCCCTTCTGTCTCACTTCCAGGCTAGCGATGGGAACAAGGAATAAAGTCAAATGGATCTGGCAGGGCCATTCCATGTCCAGACAAGGGTCTGGACAAGGGTGCAGACTAAATGGACACTCTTGAGAGTCTTGCCTGCTGCCCTCCCTGGCAAATCAGCTCCTTCCCAGGCGTGCCTGTGCAGAAACATGGTAGCTGGAGCTCCTGGGAGACTGGTGCTTGGCTTCAGCTGATCTGGTAGCAGAGCTGCTGGACGTTCCCCGCATGCCCCTGGGGAGCATCTCCCAGGCGTAGTGTCCTTGTTCTCAGCCACGGCCTGCTCTGCCCGCTAAAAGAGCTTTCTAGCAAGGCACGTAAAAGCTGAGATGGAGTTGAGGAGAGGCTGGTGACTCATTGCTTGTCTGGAGGCGAAAGTGAGCAGATGGGGTGTGGTCCCTCTGCTCCTACCCCTGAGCTCGGCTTGCCAAGCTCACGTGCTCAGCGAGCAGCTGGGCCTCTCCACCCTGGCTCTTCCGGCAAGTTCAGGGCTCCATGCAGCCTGCTTCAGCACAGCCGTAGGGCCCAGGCTACCGAAAAGCTAGTGAAGGCAGCAACACCATAGCAGATGGTCTAAGACAGCAACACGAGGGAGGCCCGGCAGCTTTGCAGTGTTCTCTGATCGAACGGGGGAAGCAGGAGAGGGTGTGTGTGTGTGTATGTGTGTGTATGCACACCTATCTCCATGTGCTTGAAAGCAGGACAGATTTAGAGGGCCCAGTGATGTCTTGGATGCATTCAGCAGCGTGTGGGGGGAGAAGAGGCATGTCCGTGCTGTTTAATTCTGCTGCCTCCTGCACCTTCTCAGTAGCTGGCTTTCTTGTTCCAGCCCCACTTACCCCACTTCAGCACAGGAATTACACTGTGTCCGGCACGGCACTTGGCCCAGGCATTGCTGGGAGGCCCGGGAATATGACTGAGAGCTGAATCAGCTGCTAATTGTCAGCAGTTTGAACCCAAACAGCTCTAATTTTTAGACTGCAATTGCTCAGGCCGAGTTTTGTGCTGGCCAGGAATTGTCTTGTGCATGCAGGCAAAGCTGCATGCAGCTAATTGGGAGCAGGTATCATAGTGGCAAGGCGTAAACTAGCCATGGGGCTGGCCAGCCACTGACTGGGTGCTGAATGTGGTCCTGGGGCTGGAAGGCATGGGCAGAGCAGGGAGGGCAGCATGGAAAGGGCCCTGTGCCCTGATGGAGGGGGCATTTCTGCCCTTACCTGGGCACATTCTCTTTTCTCTATCCCTTGTAGGAGAGCTTAGTCATTGACAGGCCCAGGGTGCGGAAGCAAACCAAACACTACAACTCCTTTGAGGAGGACGAGCTGATGGAGTTCTCCGAGCTGGACAGTGATTCCGACGAGCGGCCCACACGCTCGCGGCGCTTCAACGAGAAGACACGGCGGTACCTGCGGGCTGAGTGCTTCCGTGTGGAGAAAAACCTGCTCATATTTGGGTGGGTCCCGCCCCCTCCTGAATAGCGCGGTCGCGGCCTCCAGCTGCCCCGCACACACATGGGCCACTGGCTGCCTGAGCTGCTTTTTGTCCATCGCGAGTGACGGCTGTCCCCCAAGCAGTGTCCCCTCCCTCCTGCACTGACTTCTGTGGTGGGACCTGGACTGTTTGGCCCAAAGGGAACACCTGGGTTGGAAGAAGAGTTACGTGGGCAGAGCATGAACCTGCCAGCAGTCAGGGCTCCCAAAGCCTGCTCCTGCCTCTGCCCTGTTCAGTCCTAGGCAAACCTCTCCCTTCTTTGTGCTCCCCTAATGCAGGGACATAACAACCTCTCCGCATGGGAGCTGACAGGACTTTGCCACCATGCTGGAGAGAAGGCGCTGGAGGTGTCTCTAGTTGCTTAGGAAGGTTTACTGTGTTTCTCTTCTAGCTGGGGACGCTGGAAAGATATCCTGACCCACGGCCGGTTCAAGTGGCATCTGAATGAGAAGGACATGGAGATGATTTGTCGGGCCTTGTTGGTCTATTGCGTCAAACACTACAAAGGGGATGAGAAGATTAAGAGTTTTATCTGGGATCTCATCACGCCGACAAAGGATGGCCAGAACCAAGCTCTGCAGAATCACTCAGGTATTGCGTGTTCTCTCTGTCATTGCATCGCTACTTGTCGCCAGCGTGCCTGCTGCCGGGACTGAGGCTGCAGAAGTCAAACCAAAGCTGACTGAAACAGCCATGAGGCAGCCGTGCTTGAGCACAGGGACTTCCTCTGTGCAGACCAAGTGGCTGCCGTGGAACTGATCTCCACACAGACCCTCAGAAAGAGCGGCAGAGGCTGGCTGAGTGGGGGAGGGTATTTCATGATTCCCAGCGCCTATGTGGCCTTGGTTGGGGCAGAGAGAGCCTATTGGTAGGAGCAGAGATGCCAGCCAACTCTCGAGTGGGTGCTGCTAAGTTTTCTCTTACTGGGGCTTGGGGATACTCTTAGGGCTCCCCAGTGCGGAGAGATACTGGGCAGTGAGTTCATGGGGCACAGCTGCTGCGCGCTGTCAAGCACGTGAACATACTCGATGCAATAGGTGTGAGGGTAGAAGTGCCACTCAGAGGGTGGAAGTGCCTGGCTGTTCCTCAGGGCATCGCAGGATGCAGAATGGATCGTTGCACGGGAACCCTGCCTGTGCCTGCTGGGAAGCCCTGGCCCTAAAGCTAACAGCAGAGACTGCCAGGTGCTCCTCTTGCGGCTGCGTGATTCCCCGACCATACCAGGGTAAGCTGGTGATGCAGTTTGTGCAGCGGTCTCACCCTAGGTAGCCAGCTTGTGTCTCCCCTCATCATGGTTCTTATCCCAGACACACTGGTCTGCAGTGCCTGCCTTGATTGCTGGAGGTGCAGTTTTGCTGGTTTATCCTGAAACCTCTGCAATGCAGAATCCTAACAAGGTGACGTGGCCTTCTCCCACTTCATCTATCTAGCAGGTTTGGCTGTGCTCTCCCTGTTCAGAGGACCAGTACACATCTTTTCCAGCCTGTGTGAGGTCTAAATACCCCACGTATTGCACCGTATGTGGAGTTTTTAATTCCATGTGCATTCTCTTTGGCTGAGGCTCTCAGTGTACCCTCAGCTTCTGATAGGGGCCACCCAGAGCCTTCCCCTTCCCCCCTCTCCTGCTGCACTGTCTGACTCTCTCTTTGGGGAGAGGGGCACTGCACCTTCACCCCCATGCCTGCAGTGCAGCATCTGCTCTCTGTAGGCGTCCTTTGGAGCTGGAGCAGCATAACAAATAGAGCCCACCATGCAAACAGCATCATGCAGCCACAGTGGCCTTTGTCTTTAATGATATGAAGGCAGAGCCTGTGCTGGCTCCTTGGATCAGCTGGAGGGTTGCAGCCTGAGACACATGGTCACTGCCTGTTCTGTGTTAGAGGACTCTGCACCAATCTAGCAGCGTAATGCCTGTATCATGCGGCTTCTGGGACAGGTGAGTTGGGCTGGGAGAGCAGCCTGGGGGAGGCCTTCTTGCTCTCACAGAGAGTGCTCACGGCCCCACGGCTGTGTCTGCTTCTTGTGTGCTTGTGATCTGTGGTAGAAGGTGAGTAGTTACGGGACTGGGACTCTACAGCCTGCTTTTGACGCCAGTGAGCCAGGCTGAAACCTGAGGCTCCCATTTCGATGTGATGGAGAGCACAGGAGGCTGTTTTGAAGTGGCTCAATTGGCAGTGTGAGGCATGAGGCTGTCGGATGCTGTCGCTGAGCCCCAAGGGCATGCCGTGTGTTATTTAGTGTTTAGAAAACACTAGTTTAGTGTGCAGTCTCAAGACCCAACATAACCATTTCCTTCTATCTGGAAATGTCTGACTTCCTTTACAGCATGCAGTCTGAGCATATGGCCTTTAGCGCCCAGCTTAAGTCACTCCAGTCACTTCCTACAACATGCACGTCAGCAGTGCTGCCTCCTGTTCTTACCACAGAGCCCTGCTCAGAAAAACAATGGGGCTTACCTTGAGAGCCCTACGGGAAGCAGAGCAAGAGTAAGAAACAAATTGGCTGATATGAATGGGCTTGATTGAGATAATGCCAAGTAACAAACAAGCCGCGGTTTCGGTGGAGGGTCAATAATGCTTTACTGCAAGAGCAGCACTAAAATTGACGCATTTGGATATTTAGCAGAGGGAAGCAGCCAGGAGCTTCTCCATCAGCTTGCCGGTGTGGCTTTTCCCAGCTGTGAAACCACGCTGTGGCCTTGGCCAGAAGGGACAGCGAAACCATCTAGCCTAACCTCAAGAATTGGACGAGAGCAGAGAGCCCTCCGGTGCAGAGCAGTCACGCTGCTGGCCCTGCCATGGCTCACCAAGGAGCCTGAGGCACCCCTCATGTGTTTGCAGGGAGCTCACCAGGCAAGACTTGCTCCGGGAATGCCTGCTGTGCAGAAGACAACAGAAGACATCCAAGACCCCTGCTTGTGCATCCTGGGGACTGTTCTTTCCCAATCCTAAATCCAGTAAAGTGTGTGACTGAAAGAGGGTGAGCAGAGCCAGCCCACCGCAGAGCTCTAGTCTAATCCATCTGATCCACCCCTATCCCGGCCAGAGGCTGAGCTGCCGAGGAAGGCAGTGTTAGCCCAGAGTTCATCGGGCCAAACTGTCCTGGGGATAGAAGCCCTGGTGACCGCTGCTGGTCCCAGGCAGTCACCTGGGCTGGAGTCTTTTTACTGTCATGGAGCGGCAAGCATTATGAAGGTGTTGAGGACACTGCAGCGCTTTCTGTTCTACGCAAGTGTCCAAGACAAGATGGATGGGGCAGAACTGCTGAGGCTGTTCTTTCCCCTTCACAAACATATGACAGAGGAGGAATGCCTGCCCAGGGAAGTGGCTCATCTCTCTCAGAAAACTCCAAACAATAGTGACCCCACCAGGAGTCGTTTCCATGTTCCCCTGTGAACTCATATCTTATTTCAAGGTTGAAGATGTGTTTAATTTTCAGCTCCAGCCACTGGATCTCATTTTATCTTTGTCAGCAAGATGGAGATTGCATTCCTTTTCCATTCAGCATCTCTGCCAAGTGTAAACACCCCCCTGCAGTGATCAGGTTCCCGCAGAGCCCTCTTCCTGATGCACAGAATAGGAAACAATTCTTAAAGATCATCAGGATTGTTTTCCAGCCTTTGATCATTTTGGAGCTTCTTGTTTGAACTCTTTTCTCCGTTTACCGTGATGTCCTTGTGGGGTGAAACACACACTTCAGAACTGGCCATGGTGTCTAGGTCAGGCTCTAAGAAGAGCTGTGCCCAGGATCATGGTCCATTCCATGCTCCTATTTGATATTTGAGTACATCTAGGGGTCACCTTATCTGTTTGGGCTTGCCTTGTACTAAGGACTCATAGCAGTACAGTTTCTGTGGTGATCCCTAAGTTTTTCTTGGAGATAGAGTCTCCCACACTCCGAGTTTAGCCCGTGTGCTTTATTTACAGATCCCACACCTGCATTTGGCAGTAATGAAAGACACTATAAACTCTTTGAGATCTGTCTGTTCTGATCCATCTAAGGTATGTCATGTCCATCTTATGTAATGCAAACTTTAAACAAAAATGGCATGCCATGTTAAATAGGATGTCAAAGAGTGCGGCTCATTGCTTTTATCAGCCAATTCTGTAATCTTATTAAAAAGACAGAAGGCTGTTTTAATAAGATCTTTTGTCTCCTGTTCCAGTGCTGATTGACAATTATATCTGAGCTACTGTGAGCCTTTCCATGATTTTACCCAGCTCAAGTCTTATATCCAGTCATCCCCTTTCACCCGTTTTGAAATAGCTTTTCAGCTGTGTACCCAAGCCACTCTCTCTGGTCGCAGGCACAAAATCTCAAAGAACGGCACAGTGTTCCCGCCTCTGTAGTAGGAAAGACCTGAAGAGCCACAGAAGACAGACGAAGTGGACTGAGTTCTTTGAGTTCTCTCTTCTGGGTCCCAGGCACTGCAGTGGGTAGAGGAAAAACCATGGCATATTGGCGTGGAGGCACAGGGTCCTCCCCTGCTGCTGCAGGACACAGACTGTATCTGGAAGAGTTTCAACGCCCTGCACAGCCTTGGTCTGGTTCTGGGGCTAGAAGAAAAGGTGCGGGGTGCTGGGGGGTTCCAAACTGTGGCATGGTGTTAACTGCACACAACCCACTGAGGGTGTGGAGCTGGGGAGCCAGGGGCTGTTAGTGGCTCTGTTAGCTCACTTGGCTTGTGTGAGGTCCCTGGGGGGCTATGGTTGGAGCCTACCCAGGTCCTGCTGATGCTCAAGGGGCTGCAAGCAGGAGCCTGGGGAAACAAGGCTCTGTGGCTGCCCCAGGGCCCGAGTGCCAGTGTGCAGAAGCAGAACCAGGTGCCGGGTGGGTGTGTGGAGCCTGCCAGAGGGAAGGTGTCAGGCGGTGGGATATTGAGCCCTGCTGCTCATCCCAGCAGAGCGAGCTCCTGCCTTTTCTAGGGCTTTGACTTGCTTAATGTTTGTCCTTGGCAGCCTGTTCCAGCCACCCAGGCAGAGACATGCCAGTCCCTGGCTGTGCCAAGCATCGTCTGTGCCCCAGAACTGCCAGTTGGACTGCTGGAAGGGGGCACATCCCCACCTGATGCATCTTCCTCATCTGATCTCGGTGCAGTGTGGTTTGGGCTCTGCTGTTCGGTGGGAGCAGTTTGGAAACCTGGGCACATGGCCCTTCCTACTGACGTCTCCCCTGACCTTGGCTCACCAGTCTGCAACAGGGAGCTTTGCAAGGCCTCCAACTCCCCAGCTGTGCTACCCTGCCTGGACACTGCAGTGCTGCAGACGCCTCGCAGCGGTGCCTGGGCTGTGCCCTTGGTGCCCATGGTGCTCACATGCTGCCACTTGCTGTTACAGGTTTGTCAGCACCGGTGCCCAGGGGCAGGAAGGGGAAGAAGACAAAGAACCAGATGCTGCTCCCAGAGATAAAGAACGCGGACTGGCTTGCTACATGCAACCCTGAGATAGTCCTGCATGATGACAGCTACAAGAAGCACCTCAAACAGCACTGCAACAAGTGAGTGCAGGAGCCCACCCCAGCTCACAAAGCCATGGCATCTGTGCTATGGGTTGTGGGCCTCTAGCATGGAGAAGGTAGGAGAGAGCTGTGAAGGGCCCACAGCCCACGCTTTGGTACAATGGCATTTCTAAGCTGGAGGCTGAGCTCAAGCCATCTACCCTCCAGCTTCCTCTGTCCTTGCCCTGATGCAGCTCCATGCTCTACCTGAACCCTCGTTCCAGCCCTGCCTGCTTGGAGCAGGGCTCATCTTGGCTATGCCGAGAGTCTTAAGCTGCCTGTGTTGGCAGCAGCTCTTAGCTGAAAATCTGCGTAGCTAGTGGAGCCAGTGACAGCACAGAGTTGCAAAGGGCAGCACTGAGCCATGGTGGAGAGAAGTCCCTGAGAGATTCGTTGGAAGAGTAGTTAATCCCAGAGCTGTTTGTGTCCCAGGGTGCAGAGCTCAGGGTTGACTCCTCTTCAAGCACAGCCTGGGTCCACCACGGAGGGTCTGCCCCCTTCCCTGCCAGCACTGCACACCAGGCAGTGCCCACCACTAGTCAGGGCTTAGTGGCATCACTGTCCTCTCTGGTGCTGGGTCCCACAGCTCTGCCGCACATGCCCTTCCCTCCCTATGGGGCTCCTTTGGGATTTAATTGTGTTAAGTCTACACAATTATGGAGCTAAGCAGAGGTGAGGCAGGAGGACTCAATCCTGCTGCTGGGTCACTCTTGGGTTACTCCAGGTAACAGGAGAAGTGTCCTGAGCACCAAACCTTTGCCTGCAGGGCCCCAGGAGAGCACAGGGCAGGGGACTGTGGTGTGACACCAGTGCTCCTCTTGCGAGGGGACAGACGGCTTTGAGGAAATGAGTCCTCCACGGGGTGGGAAATGCACTGTCGAACAGTGGCTTTGCTGACCCTCAAGAGAGTTCCCCTGCAAACGGTGCCAGGAGACAGTGCAAGCTATGGCGAGGGATGTTGGGCCAGGCCCTGGGCTGGCATATGAGCAGCTATGTGCTAGCGTGTGTTCCTCTCTGCACCCTGGGACAGGGTTCTGCTGCGCGTGCGAATGCTCTACTACCTGAAGGCTGAAGTGCTGGGGGAGGCCGCTGACAAAGCCTTCGAGGGGACCCCTGCCAGGTAGGGTGCTTGCGGTGAATCCCTCTGTTGCTTCTCGGTGAGGTGGTGGCAGCACTTGAGCAGGGTCACAGCTGTGCAGCCCAGCCACCTCTGGCTTCACAGCAGCTCCAGGTGAGTCAGGCTCTGCACCAAGGACAAGGGGAGCAGCAGGCTCTGTGAATGCCATTGAGCCTGCGGCCTTCCAACTCCCAACTTTGTTGCAAGGATTCAGCTCTCAGAGTTTAAGAGAGGAGTGCAATATGCTGAGCTGTTTCCTAGAGCCAGGGGCTGCTGCCTTCCTTGAGCTGGGGCTAGTGGTCTGTACCGGCACAGCTCCATTAGTGTGAGTCCTTGTGGAGGGCACACTGTAGCCCACCCCACTGGACACTTAACTGGACTATTATTTTAGGCTGGTAGATTTGAAGAGGATTTCTCCCAGCAGGTACTATTTAAATCAGATGGGAGCTCCCCTTGGTATTGCTTGGGTAGGAGGGGAGAGGGGCTGTGCAGTCGCCCCGTCTCTGGAGAAAGCGGAGGAGGAAGGCAGTGGGTGCAGTAGAGCAGAGACTCCAGCTCTGTATCCCCAGGAAGGTGTGCATGCCAGGCCCCAACTGGGCGACACGCCAGCCTCACATTCGTTAACTGTCCCCAAGCCAGTGAGGAGAAGCTCCTGTCTCCCTCTGCCCCTTGCTGGCAGTGACCAGCACACTCCAATGTCTGCTGAGGCTGGGAGAGCGGCACTCATGCCTTGTTCCCTGCAGAGAGCTGGATGTGCTGCTGCCAGACATCGACTATGTGGAGATCCCAGTGGACTGGTGGAATGCTGAAGCTGATAAATCCCTTCTCATCGGTGTTTTCAAACATGGTACGTACCCAGCCTTATCAGGTGGGTGGTGTTGTGTGAGAGGGACCCCTGTGGCCAGACAGCCAGACAGCTGTCCAGAGCTCCAGTACCTGAAGTGGAGATGGCTTGTTTGCCTCCACATCAGTGTGAGGGGACAGAGACCAGCTGTGCACAGCATCTGCACAGGGCCAAGGCAGCTCTCCGTGGGGTGCCTGCAGCTGCAACACTGCCAGCTCATTCCGGTGGCAAGGCAGGCAAACCCCAGTGCTGCCAGTGGCCAGGCCTGGGCAACTCTTGGGGAGTTGCTTCCCTTGTTTTGCCAGGAACAATGTGTTGTTGCCGTGTGAGGGTGAGCTGGGGAGGCAGGCGCAGTGCCTCTCCTGGGAACTCCAGCCTGGTCATGAAACCTCCTTGCAGCCTCCAGTGGCCAAAGGATTCTTCACTCCCAGCCCCAACCTGTCTTGGGTGCTGGGCACAGCTTTCCGAGTGCTGTGCTGCCTCCCAGGAGGGGTTGCGTTGTGTGGTGGAAACGCACTGCCTGCTCTTTCTCTTTGCCTGCTACCTCAGGGTTGCAGACCAATTAGCAGCTTTTGGGAAAGCGTTCTGAATTTCTGGGTTTAAGAATTGCGCTTGGAGAGACAGACCATGAGAGCTAGATGGGAGCTCTGTCCCCCAGAGCAGGAGGTTTACCTAAACCAGGCTCAGGCCTGGCCTTGTGCCATTTTTCTCCTTTTTGATGGCCTGTGGCCGTTGGCAGGTTATGAGAGGTACAACGCCATGCGGGCAGACCCAGCGCTGTGCTTCCTGGAGAAGGTGGGCATGCCAGATGAGAAGCTGCTGTCTGCAGAGCAGGGTGTCAGTGATGGGGCCCAGGACGCTACTGAAAGGTAGGCAGGGGATAGAGCTGAGCTCTCAGGGACTGTTTGGCTTGCTTCTGAGGGCCATGTTAGAAGTGGGGTCAGTACTCTGGGGTAAGCTGTGCTCAGGGAGGGCAGCGAGAGGGAGAAGGAAGCGGGCTTTGTGCAAGTGTGAGCATGGCAGGCATTGGGGAAGGATGGCAGGCTGGAGCTGGCTTTCTGGTACAAGGCTGAGGGCTGCCGCATGAAGACAAGTGCTGATTCTCTACTCCATCCAACAGACTGCTAGCACAGCCAAGAGAGGCTGCGCTGCAGCTACCAGGGACTAATTCATTATCTTACCCAGGGGGAGCATGGAAAAGGAGGAGAACGGTGGAGAAAAACTGGAGGGGCTGCCGAAGCAGGAGGTGAGTGGGGTTCACGGTGATCATGCATGTCTGCTGTTGCCAGGCCTGCTCTCCTGTTCTGTGCTGCAGCTGTAGCTCTTTCAGCTCTGCTACAGGTCTCAGGAGAACCAGCATCTCCTGTGACCCTGCTCCGTGTCGCCTTTGCCTTACCTTGCGTAGGCTCTGCCCCACGCTCCCTGTGTTGTCCTTGCTCACTGGAGCACTGCTTCTTCCTTTATCTCTCTGTGTTTCCTGTTGATCTGGATTGTATCTCCCTCCTGGAGAGCTGACACGGAGTGAGAGCCGTGAATTGCCAGGAGTGCTGGGTCTGACACTCAGCTTCAGGAGCCATGCAGGCCCCTGGCAAAGGAGCGATGGGTGTCTGGAGAGGAATGGCCCTGGGGGAGAGGAAGACCAGCGAATGAGGCGACATGTGAGAGTGCAGGGTTCGACTGAGCAACACAGGTGATTGCCAGCACTAGCACTGCTGGGCAGTGCTGCTGCACCCCACCATGTCACTGCGGTGGCCAGCGGCCTCACCTCAGGGCTCAAAACAACATAGCTGACCTGAGCCGTTGTCTCCTCAGCGTGGGGCAGGAGGGAATGCGGCTGCAGCATGGCCAGGCTGCAGTGGGAGAGCTGCCAGAGCTGAGGTGCTCAGGAGCTGTCCTGCCCATGCAGCTCTGATCTCATGCACTGACAGGTACATGCAAGGGGAGCCAGCAACTGCAGCCAGAGCACGCAGGACACACGGCCCTACCAGTCCCATCACCCCACACCCTGCCAGGGCCAGGCCATGCAGCTGAGAGCTCCCGCTGGGGAGGGCTGCCTGGACAATGGGGGTTTCTGCACAGGTCTGGAGAGGCCCTCTCTGACGATTTCTTTCTGCAGGACATCGTGGCTGCTGGGGTGGGTGAAGCCAGTGAGAAGCAGGATGAGCCAGTGGCAGGTGAGGCTGTACCTTCAGCAGCGTGGCTCTTGGCTGTCCAGGGACTGGCACAGGGGCCCACCAGAGCCAGAGTGGTGACGCAGGCAGGGAAGACTCAGGGGGACGTGCTGTTCAGTGTTAGTGGGTGAGGTAGCTTAACGCGAGCAGCAGTGGTCACCCTGTGCTCTTTACTGGCTGACTGGCTCTTCCAAAGGGCAGAGTGGCTAATCAGCCCTCTGGGCTTCCAGCCGCACAGACTGTAGCAGGAGGGCTGGCTGGTGCTGTGCAGTAACCTGACACAGCTATGGTGAGAGCCTTCTCAGGGTGGGAGCGTGGGGAAGGAATGGGCTGTCAGTAGCCACAGCGAGCCCAAGACTGAGCTGAGCTCAGTGTCTGAGTCCCATGCAGGCCCCTGGCTGGGGTCCTCCTGTGCAGACGCACTCTCTAACCGAGAGCCCAAGTTGTGTTTGACCCGGGGATGGGCCTTGTGGTGGGGCAGCCAGGGTCCCAAAAAGGAGTGTTTCCAATTGGTACCAGCCAAAGCCAGCCATGGGTGACTGTAAACCATTAGCCTGCCCTGGCCGTTGAGTTGCCTGCATGAGTTGAGTCTGCAGGGTCTCTGCTGACTGCAGTGGGCTGGCTGGTCCCTTCTGCTGAGCAGGAAGGGGGGGGGTCACAGAGAGTCCTGGGAGCTGCGTTCCTGTCCTAGGTGTGGTCTGGCCCAGAGCTGTCATTCCTACCCCGATCTCTGCCTCTGGGTTCTCTCCGAAGGAAGTTCAGACGTGGTGAGGCTCTGAGCCAGCAGCTTTTGGGATGCAGAAGTCCAGGGGTGGTCAGCCCAGCCCCTTGTTCCTAGACTCTATTCCCTAGTGCTCCCTATGGGAGAGGAAGGACAGGAGGGCGCTCTGGCAGAGCTAGCCGTCGGGATGCGGGAGCCTATGGATTTACACTGTGAGTTAAATACTAATGTCCTTGCTGATGTTTGAAGCCCAGGATGGCTCCGACTCAGACAGATCCTGCTGGCCTGTCTCATCTGCCCTCACAGCCAGACTGCGGAGGCTTGTCACCGTCTACCAGCGCTGCAACCGCAAAGAGCTGCCTCCCCGTGCCGAGATGCTGGTGCCCGGTAACCATGGATACTGGCTGCAGGACGAGATGTTCAGGAGAGCCTCTGAGCTGGACTCAGCAAACAAAGAAATGCAGAAAAGGTAACAGAGCAGACCCAGGCAGTGGGTCCTTTGTGAAGCTGCTGTGGACCTGTCAAAATTTCTGGGCCCCTGAATTTATCCAGGAAATCTCACAGCCATGTGAGATGCACAGGCCCGTGGGTCCCTCCTGGGCATGGTAGAGGCTTGTGGCCCGTGTGGCCAGCCCAGCCCGCAGAGCAGCCTCCTTATGTAGTTTCTGGGTAGCAGCTGGTGACAGCTTGAAAGGAGAAAGCAGGGGGATAGCTCTTCTTGGTCAAATCCAGCATCTGCTGGGCCAAGGATTGCCCTCCAGCCCCTCGCACAGCGGGTGCTGCTGGGCAGTGTGGTGTGCCAGAGCCTGGGACACACCGTGGATGAGGGGTGATTGATGAGTACTGTCGCAGCCTGCGTACGTAGCATTTTCAACCCACGCGCATTTCATGCTGCCACATTAGCCTCCTGCTGTTGGCCTTGGGAGCCCGATGGTGGCGTATCATGGCAGCAGATTGCAGCGTGCTCCCAGTTTGCAGCATCCCAGTAAATGGAAGAACGGCAGGAATATGGCCTGATGCCTCCCATGGCTCTTGGCAGAAACCAGGGAAGGTGTGAAATGGGGTGATACTGCCTCCTCACTGCCAGTCCCCACTCAGCAGCTCTGGGGCTTCCTGCAGTACAGGGGCTCTCCATGGTTAATAGTCCTCAATGACTGTTTCTCCTGTGAATCTGTCCCTGTTACATGAACCCATGTAGCCTTTGGTATCTGTGCTGCCCTGTGGCTGGAAGTTTGGTGGTTTAGCTACAAGTTGTGTGAAGTCCCCCCTTGTGCTCATTTTGGGCACTTCTCTTCATCGTTGAATTTGCTGCTTCCTAGTTCTTGTACCCTGGGAAGCACTGACGAGTCATTCCCACCTGCCTTTTGCTGGCCCTCATAATGGGATCACTCTGTTTACTAGTTCCCTGTGTGGAAGCTGGTCCAGCTCACTGATCTTCCTTCTCCCCTTTCCCTGAACCTCTTCCATTTGTACTGTCTCCTCTCTGAGGTGGGGGGGATCAGTGCTCCTCACAGTGGTGAGGAAGTGCTTGTGCTGTGGACAACACAGCGTTCTGGTATTTCCTGTGCTTTAACCCCGTGGGCCCTTTTATTTTGTCTTCTTACAGGGGTGTACTAGGCAGTTTCCCCCAGGCCTTCAATTTTAGGCTTTTAAACAAGCACCCCTTTGGGCTCCTTCTGGTCACTGACTTTTTATTCACTTCCTCCTTGTTATTTGCTCTCCTTTTTGGAATGAAATATCACTGCAGAGGGCTCCTTGGGGAGTCGGGCTGGAAATGGTAGATCTAAGTGTATTTTGGTCAGTTTGGGAGAGCTGTGGGTGCTGTCAGCCTGTCTGGTCTCCCTTGATGTGTCACAGCTGCTTGCTAACAGTTGGCATGGAACTGCAATTCAGAGGAGTTCTAATTTGACTTTATGCTTTCTTTAGCACACAGCACTCATCTTCCGTTGTCGTGACCTGCTCCTGCTCTTCCCGTACAGTTTTTATCCTGATCTGTCTTCTCTGGCCTGTTTTTCAATGCTCTGTTTGCCCAAGGCTGTATTTGCCCAGCACACTCTTCACCATCTCTGGCCTGGGTCATTCCATCAAGTGATCCCCACGTTCTCTCACGACATGAAAGCTCAGAGGGTCTGAGGCAAGGTGAAAATGATGCTCTAACAGTGCCGCAATTGAAAACCCGCAACACCAAGGCTGTTTTCCTTTGGTGGGGAGAGCACCTGCCCCCATCGCTCAGGAATCCTGCTCGCTCCTGTCTGCAGGAGTGGCCTCGCATTTGTTACTAGGACACGTAAGGCAACGAATCCTGCTCCCACCTCACCTCCTGAAGAGGCTGGTTGTGAACTCCCTCTACAGGACCCTCCTTTCTCATTCCTGGTACAGAAAATCAGCCTTTCCATGCAGGTGATGAGCCCAACTTGATTTGCAGAAAGCAAGCTGGTGAAATAGCCCTGTACCTCTATAGATGCTCCTGGAGCCTGTGTCCCACAGGCAGCACAGCCATGGGCTGTGCGTTGTGTTCTTCAGACAGCACAGTGAGCCAAGAGCCAGTGTGCCCATGACCTTTACTCCTCCTCATAGGAGGAGTAATAGGACCATAGGACAGAGGATCTCCAGTTGTGGTGCTCTCCTCCTTGGTGCACTCCTTCTGACAGCTGCCCCATAACTGGTGGACAGAAATTAGATAGCCCCCTCCAAGCCTCTCTGCCTGGTGCTTGCCCATGCTGGGAAAGTGCGAGGCTGACCGGAACGTGTCTCAGCGGTGTTTTTTGTGTCTCCCTCCCTGCCTCACAGGTGGACCAGGAGGGAACAGGCAGATTTCTACCGCACTGTCTCCTCCTTTGGGGTCATCTATGACCAGGAGAAGAAGATCTTTGATTGGGCCCAGTTCCGAGCCATCTCTCGATTGGAGAAGAAGACAGATGAGAGCCTAGAAAAGTACTTCTACAGCTTTGTGGCCATGTGCAAGAATGTCTGCGGTCTGCCACTGTGGAAGGAGGATGGTGAGTTGAAATGGCATGACCTGTGGCGGGGATAATGGCAGATCCATGTAGCCATGGGCCAGAAATGGCCCAGCTGCTCTGATGGAGCAGAAGAGCAAGGGAGCTGTTTCAAGGAGAGAAGGAGGCAGTAAGACGCCAGCCGGGTACACATAACAATATGCTCTGTGATGTGGTTCACCACTAAAACCTTACATCTCCACTTCACAGTAAGCATGCTGCAACTAGAGACCTGCCCCAAGGCCATGGGCTTGCAGAAGCCACCTACATCTGTCTGTCCTGTCACCACTGCATCTTGCCTCCCTGGTGCAATGGGAAAGTAGGGCTGCCCTGTGGAGTCCAGTCCCTGCTCTCACAGGTCTCATGTAGTTCTTTTCATGAAATCACAACCAATTTTGTCCAAAACAACAACTTTTAGATGCGAAGGAGGAGAAGTAGAGAAGCAGGAGTTCACGTCTCCTCCGTACTGGAGCAGGGGGCTGTTTGTGCAGTCCGTATCATGGCTTCCCTTATGAGCACCTCTTTGCCGGTGCTGGACAGAGTCCGTGTGGCACCTGTGAACTGAGAAGCTCTGCTGGAAAAAGGGAATCTGAACCCACCGCAGGAGGCTTGGGGAAGCCTGGCCAACACACCAGGCATCTGTTTTCTAGGAGTGCCCTGCAGACCTCGGTGCACTGGCCCCATGTAGGTGATGGCAGATGAAAAGCTGCTTGGGAGCTATGTAAACACAAAGTGATTTGCTTTTAGCAGCAGCAGAAAGGATCTCATCTTAAACATGCCAGGTGGTCTGGACTCAGGCACAGTTCCTTAGAGACCCATGTTAATGCCTTAGATACGGATGACTTAGGTGTTCCTCATCAAAGAGCTGCATGAGTTGAGGGACTCCCGTTCCTGAGAACCTACTGAAGGGCTGCCAGAGGCTCATATTTCAGGGAGCTGCTTGGCTGGCAGGTCCGTGCAGCTCCAGCACTTCTGTCACTAGGAGAGCAGAGCTCAGGCAGGACTCTGAAATCCTCTGCAGCCAAGCACTGTTCTTGGTCCATCTGATAAAGTCAAAAGAGTTTCCTCCTCTGTGGCCCACTGTTGGCAAATGAATGGAAGGAAAGTGGTGATCCTGGGAAGCTAAGCCTACAAGGCCTCCCCCACCTTACAAGCAGTCTGAGCGAGAGTTAAAATTCACTTATTTCATCACTGCCTCTAAATAACTCTCACTGGTCCTGCAGTGTGGAGACCTAGGTCAAACACAGGCCTTTCAATTTGTTTTGCTGTCCCATATCAGTGACCAGCCTGCGTTGTCACCTCTAGGCAGCCAGGATGGATCTCAGGCTGACGGCTGCATCTCCGCAGATTTCTCTGATGCCTGTGAGTCTTTTCAGGTGCTGACCCTGCAGGCACACCGTGTAGCAGCTAGGCCATCACCCTGCGTTCTGCTTCTTGTATAATGGGGCTTTGGCTTTTCTCTCTCTGCTGTAGGTTCCCCAGATCCTGACATCTACGTGGAGCCCATCACCGAGGAACGTGCTGCCAGAACCCTGTACCGTATCGAGCTTCTACGGAAGGTGCGCGAGCAGGTGCTCAAGTGTCCACAGCTCCACGAGCGACTCAAGCTGTGCCGGCCAAGCCTCTATCTGCCGGTGTGGTGGGAGTGCGGCAAACATGATCGGGACTTGCTAATTGGCACCGCTAAGCATGGTCTGAATCGCACCGACTACTTCATCATGAATGACCCACAGCTGTCTTTTTTAGATGCATACAGGAACTATGCCCAGCATAAAAGAACAGGGATCCCAGGTCCAGAAACCCTGTGCTGCCTTTACCAGACTAACTCCAAACTCTACAGTTCCCCTCTGTATAGCCAGGTGGACCGGCCTTGCGAATCCCTGGAGAATGAAGCTGAGAGTCAGATCAAGCTAGAAAACATAGACAACACCATGTCCCAAGCTGGGGGCAGTCCACTGGATGCAAGCTGTGAAACATTCATGTCTAAAGTCCGGGACATCATTTCCAGTAACTACGATGAGAGCTCTCTCCCAGACTCGTTGATGTGTATGATGTACGACGAAAAGGCCTGTAACAGTGAGCAAAGCTCCCTTGCCCGAGACAGCCCAAGTTGCACAGATGTTGGAAACAGTGTTGCTAAACTCTCTGAGAGCAAACTAGAGGGGGACGAGGATCCATCCAACTGTGATGCAGAGGTCATGAGAGAGACTTCCTTCTTAGAGAGTTTGCAGGTGGACTGTGAACGAATAGACGGTCAGAATGAAGAAGCTGAGCCTTCACCTTCTACCCCAGAAAGTGACCCCTCAAGGAGTGTCCCAGCAGAGCTCTGTGAAGCCTTGCAGCAGAAGGGAAACCTCACCAGCCGTGGGGCAGTGCTGCCTGAACACAGTAGCATGGAAGGTGTCATCAGCGTGGGGCTGTACAGTCCCAGTCTTCATAACTATGAAATAAAGGTTCCCCCAGAACAGAGGTTCATTAATTTGCTGCAGGAGAAAGGCATGGAAGCAAAATCAGGGCCGAGTCAGAGCCACAGCGAGGAAGATGAGGAGGAGGAGGAAGAGGATGATAACTCTGAGACAGCAGCAGATGTCGTGGAGGACTTGAGTGGTCCAAGGACCAGGGCCATTTGTGATCCCGGGGCTAATGAACTGAGAGGCGAGGAGCAGAGCTCTGGCCTCCCCACACCTGAGGAGGACACTTGCCCAGAAGATGCGAATGGCGAGAGAGAGTCCCTGGGGCCAGGGATACTTGAGGGGCCTGGGGAGCCTGGTCCCGGGGGCAGGGAGGACCATGATCCAGATGAGGAGAGCGCCTCGCAGCACTCACCAGGCCAGCCTCAGAGCCAGGCCTTCAGCCTGCCTGCACCTCCACTGGGGCCCCTGGAAGCAGAGCACCCCCGTGCTGGGGGGGAAGCCTGGGACCAAGGGGCTGAGGGGCAGGCAGGCTGCAGAGAGGCCCTGCACCCTGAGCCCCAGGGAGCGAAGCAAGAACAATGTGAGAACAGAGATGAGGAGGAGAAAGCCGGCAGTGGCCAGAGTCAAGGTACAGTCCTGAGAGTCCCTGCTGTTGGCTGTCACCTCTGACTGGGATGGAAACGACCTGCTGCCCTCACCATAGATCCAAAGCCTTAGGGCTACCCGCAGCCCCACTCACTCTAGCCCACATTGCCAATGATCAGCCTTGCCTCCCCTGTGCCAGAATTGGGGCCCTTCTGGCTGATGTGGCTCTAGTGATGGAGGAGCAAAGGGTTGGTGGCTGCATTTCCCAGCAGGGCCTGCTAGGTCATCACCCTGAGCCCCCACAGCCCTTTGGCCCTGGGTCCTGCCATGGGATGCAGGATGCCCTTCCCTTCCTGGCATGAGGCACTAATTAGTGAGCAGTTCCAGCTGGTAAGGCTTGTGCCTGCCTTCTCACCTGCCTGGGGTTCTGGCTTTGTCACTGATAAAGGGACAGGGGCCACCGCAGTACAAGCCCCGTGAACTGGCCCCAGCCTCAGCCCAGGGGGGCGTGCTGAGCTGGCCCTTCCAGAGCAGCCCCGCCATGACCCAGGAGTGCTGCATTTCTTGGTGGCTGATTGGGGAATAGGACTCTTGTGGGACCTGCTGAGCATCGGGGTGAGAAGATGGGAGAAGCTGCTCCCGCTCCAAGAGGTTAAGGGAGGCAGGGAGATGACAGTTTCTGTTCCCTATTGCTTTCTTAGATGGTACAGAGAAATATCTGGAGGAAGAGAGCAAGAGTTCTACATCTGTCCTGCCTGGGGAGATCGATGACCTTCAGGATGCTCGGGCACCAACCATAGCCCAGCTGCTGCAGGAGAAGACACTTTACTCCTTCTCTGAGTGGCCTAAGGTAGCTTAAAAATGAAGGCTGTTTATACTGCAAGTGTTCACCAGCCAGGCATCCCCAGCCCTGCTTCCTCATCCTCTGCACGTGGCTCCCAAAGGGTGCTCTAGCTAGCATGCTAGGGTGCTCTCCCGAAGTGCTAGTGCCCTAGACTGACCTGCCCAAGGGCATTTTCCTGCTGAACTGAGGTCACAAGGGTTGAGTTCATCTTTAATCCCGGGAGGATACACATGAAGTAAAGTCATTTGAGTTCTAGCCTGACTTTGCTATGGTCCCTTAGAATAGCCTTTGTCCCTCATTTGTCCTTGGCCTTGCAAGGTAAAAAGGCCATGTTTGTGCTAGGTTTAGGACTTCCCCCTTCCTTCCCAGCAGTCCTGGATGACCAGAAAGCAGTTTCCTGCCTGAATGGTCCTGAAGCCTCTCCTGTCACTTGCTCCCAGCTCTTCCCCTGCCTTCCAGAGCTCACAGATCCTGGGCTGTCTTTATGGAGGGGGGAACCCTGACTACTTTTCCGCTGCTGACCTTTTCCTGCCTGTGTGCAGGCAGGGATTTGGTGTCACAGTCCCATGGAGTTGCGTGGTAGGTGGGACATTTGGCTGAGAGAGTTTTTTTGGGGTCCTGGTGGTACTACCCCTCAGCAGTGCTGTGTTGCTGAAGCTGTCCATGTGGATAAGAGCCACTGCATTTCAGGACTATGCAGTATTCCGCCAAGTAGAGGCAGTCTGCTGCCAGGGTTGACTTATGTTTGTGCCACAAACATACTGTGACTTTCACACGTCACACTCCTCCTGTGTCTATATTGCAGCACAGTGGCTGGGGGAATCACTCACAGCAATTTGGAACATTCCTTGGCAGCCAGGCATGGCCTTGCCTGCATTGATTTCCCTGAACTTGCTGTGCCCTGTGTCACATGACATGAATTTAGAGAAAGAGTAGGAAGTTTGTTTGGCAGAAGTCTGGCTATAGACTCCCCTAGCGCAAGACCCATAAGGGTGACACGAGCAGAAGGCACGCTCAGGAATGAGTTGCCCCCTACACGTGGCGAAGTTCACTGTTAGGATACTATGCCAAAGTTTTGCTGTGCATCTAGTACTGCCTGAGATCCTAAGTCCCTCCGGTGAGTGCCCCACTGTGCACGTGAGATCTCAGCATCGCTGCTGTAGCTACTCTGAGCTTCCCTGGTGGTGGTGACAGCCTGCACCAGGCTGCTGGACTGTCCATTTCTGTTTGCAGGACCGTGTGATCATCAACCGCATTGACAACATCTGCCATGCCATTCTGAAGGGCAAGTGGCCTTCTTCTAGCCAGCAGTTTGAGACGCAAAGCCTGATGACCACCTCAGCAGTTGCCAGCAGTGCCGGCAGTAGGAACAGCTTTGCTGAGTCAGAAGCTCCGGATCCCAACTTTAACAATGGAGTGTTAATCTCACAGGTACAAAAGGTGAGGGGGGCCCTCGAACAGGGACACAGCTTCAGACCCCATGGGGAAGCATGGTCTGAAGTGGTCAGTAGCTTCCTAATCAGGGCCTGGGTTTTCATTGCCTCTTTGTGCCGCTTGTGGTATATCACACAGCTTTGGCTGTGTGATCCCCTCCACTGAGCGCTCCTGGTGAACTCCCCATGCTCTCTGTCTCTTGCCAGCCCTGCTCCCCTCTTGGGAGTGAAGCCATTGCTCTCTTCAGGTCCTGCAGTTGAAGATGTGCTTCCGGAATTAGTGCCGGAGCACCTGGCATGGCCAAAGAATGGTGGGAGGACATGGGGACACTCTTTTAGTGTCCCAAATGGAAGGGTGTAGGAACTGCCCAGTAAGCAGCTCTCATCTTCTCTCACTGCTGGGCACTGCACAGAGCCAGAAGCTGCTGGCCTGGAACGGCTGGTCCGCCAGCAGCTGACAGAGCACCCTGGGCTGTGGCACCATAGGGAGGTCAACCTTTGTGTGAGGGTGCCACTACACCTATTCCCACACATGGTGAGATGTGATGTGCTATGGGAAAAGGCATCCTTCCTTCAGGGCTCCTGCAGAGAAATGGAGGAGTCTGACTGGTAGCCACACAAGCCCACTGCATCTAAGTGTTGGTTTCAAGAGCTGTGGTCCCTCAGCAGTGCGTGGGCAGCTGTAAACCTCTCTGTGGCTTTGATACACACAGGACGGTTTCCTGGCCCCTGCCTTTGTGAAGGATGAACGGAAGCACAGGAGGCCGTATGAATTCGAGCTGGAGAGAGATTCCAAACAGAGGAGCTTGGAGCATTTAGCAGCAACCCATGCTCATCCACCGATTGTGCTGAATGGCTGGCGTGACTCAGCTGTGGACCTGTCCAGAGCCTCTGATGGGTCCCCAGGAAATTCCTCCCCTTTTCCCTTGAACACAAACATGCCCAAGCTGGGGACTGTGAACACCCTCCAGGGCTCCCTGGGCATGGACTTGTCTGGCATCCTTCAGGCAGGGTTGATCCATCCTGTCACTGGACAGATTGTCAATGGCAGCCTCCGAAGAGATGATGCTGCCATGAGGAGAAGACGGGGCAGAAGAAAAAATGTAGAAGGGATGGACCTCATCTTCTTGAAGGAGAGGCCGCTTCCAAGTAGGCTACAGGTAGGTTGAGGCTCCCCACTTTCACAGGGTCCCAGTGGAGTCAGCAGAGTTTGTCTCATGGTCCTGCTCTCCCCTGCTAGTGTTTTAGCTCTGCTGCCCATCACAGTGCTGGGCAGAAAGGGCTGCATTCGGGATGGCTTGGTTTATGCTGAAGCAGGCAGGAGCAGATACTACACAAGGGAGGAAGGGATGTTCTTCCTCTGGCTTGCAGCACGCTGCCTGGAGTGCTGGCGTCCTGCTGAGCATTATCAAAAGCAGGTATCCCAGCTGGGGGTTGTCTGAGGTCAGAAAACATGAAGAAAGTTCCTTGACTGCGTGTGAGCTCTGGCCAAATGCATGTTGCATCCCCTCTCCTTCTACTCTGGGATCCACCCAAGGAAGGGAGGCTCACTGGGAGCAAGGCCAGTCCCTCTAGACCATTTTTAGGACGGATCTGGGGGATGTAGTAGTTCCTATCTCCCAGGGCAGGGTCAAGCAGGTCCTGCAGAGCCCCTTGGGATGGCTTTGTCCAGTATGGTGTTTTCCAGCAGGCCAGGAAGGAGTTGTTGGCTGGGGACCGCCCTCTGCAAAGTGGTGCACAGCCCTTTCTTCAGGAAGATGGGAGAGGAGGCCTCTCTCTCCAGAGACCGGGGCCTGGGCTTTTCTCCCTGAGCAAATTGTTCTTCCTGGCAATTAGAGCGTTTTCCAGGTGAGGTGCAGAAGCATCTCGCAGTGCTCTGCCCTCCATGCCAGCAGCATTAGGGGGCTGAATGGAAGCATAATGCATTGATGGGTGGTGATTTAAGGAACAGTCATGAGGAATATGTGGATTAAGAAGGCAACCTGTGTGATGCAAGGCACATGACCTGCTTTGGGGCTGTTTATGTGGGTGCAAATGCTTCCCTCCATGCTGCTGATGAGCCCTCCCTCTTCCTCCCCCCATGCCAGGATGTTCAGGAGGACCAGACTCAGCCTCCCCAGAACAGTCCCCTCCCAGATGGGCCGGTTGCTGCTACCTCAACTCCACAGCCAGTCCCAGCTGCGGTCAGCCAAGCAGAGAAGGCTGTCCCGAATAAGAGTCTCCTAGACTGGCTCCGTCAGCAATCCGACTACACACTCGACGTTCCCAGCTTTGGCACAGTAAGAGTGGCCTTTAGCAGGATGCGTGTATGTTTTGTGCACGTGTGTGTGTGTGCTTTGTGTGTTGTCCTTTATGTTAGTTTTTCTCCGGTTGCTCTTGAGTTCAGGGTTTCCATGAAGTGGAATAGGCATTGTCTTTCACTGCACCGTAGCTTGCGGCATTCATCAGGGCTGTCACACTTTTGTGAGGTGAGCGCAGTTCACTGGACAGCAGTGAAAGACACTTGCTGAGCCGCGTGCTCCTACCCAAAGGAGATGCCAAGCAGCCATAGGTCTGTTCTCCAGCTCGAGCCCTGGAGATCCCAGCTGCCCAGATATGCACAATTAGTTCGGTGTGTACCTGAAGGGCCAGAGATGGAAAGAAGAAGGAAGAAGTGAGCTGGGATGCTCAAAGCCTGTGCATGTTGCTTCCTTCCAGTCAGGGTCACTGAGGTGGTGCTGTTGTATAAAATGAGGTCCTCCATAGCAGGATAGAGGCCCTGCAAGCCCCTGGCAAGCTTAGCCCTGCTCAGCCAGGCCACGTATCCAGTGCCTCCAGAGCAGAGCTGGCCTACCCCAAAACAATGGATCTGCTGGAGGGGAGTATTCCTTACCTTAAAAACTGAACTGAAGCTACTGTGTTGCAAGCTGCTCTGACTCCAGTCTCATGGTCCTGGGCAGTGTCAGAAAGCAGAGCGACAGTGAGTGGAGTGCAGAGTCTGGCCAGTTCTTCCTGCAGTCTCATAAACACCCAGCTCTTGGTTTCCCAGGTTGATTTGCTCCTGAGCTTTCATCTTGTCTAGCCTATTAGGTAATTTGATAAGCAGAACGCAGTGGGGAGAACTGAAATAAAAGATAAACAAAGCATGGATGAGCTGGAGAGAAACAGGTAGTTACGATAGACTGGTGGCACACGCAGATCTCTCCCCTCTTTCGTAAATCATAGTTAGCACCCCCATTTACAGATGCATGTATATGAATTTGGAGCAGATTACAGTCTCAGGGTTGGAGGGCCACTAGAAAGAGGTGGAGCAGTCAGTCTAAGCATAAAACCACGTTTATACCTGTGGAAATCAATTGTGCTCATTTGGAAACTGGCTCTGGGACAGAGGCCAGCTTGTGCTCTGCTCTGACTGCTCCTTCCCAGGTCTGCAGGGGACCCCTCTGTCACTTGGGAGATCATCTGTGCCATTCTCCTGCAGGGCTTCTAGCCATCCAGTCTCATTAAGCCATCCTGTCTCATTAACATTATCTTGTTTGCACTCCAGAATTTTTCAGACAAGCCCAAACAGAGGAGGCAACGCTGCAAGGACCCCAGCAAATTGGACGTTAACTCACTCACAGGAGAGGAGCGTGTGCCTGTGGTACATAAGGGTACCGGACGGAGGGTAAGCAAAGGCATATTCTCTGTTCTGTCCGTGGTGTCTTGAAACGTTTAACAGATCCTGAGCTGGCCTGGGGCGAGGTTTTAATCCAGAGAAGCACGTGGATGTTCAAGACATATGCATCGATCTACACAATTCCACGAAACGCGTGTGCTAGAGACAGAGACCTACCAACATAAGTGACTTTCTTTGTGAAGTAAGGAAAGACTGAGTGTTTGCAGTTGTCAATGTACGCAGGTCTCACAGCAGCAAAGCAGTTCAGCCTTTGGCTTTAAAGGCGTCGTCAGCATAGCCCTGACTGTTGTTTCCTGTTCTAGATTTGACTGTTCCCTTTGAATTCACTGCAATATTCCACAAACTGTAATATTTCGATGTGTGGCAAACGTCTTTGTTTTGTTCCTCCTTACAAGGTATGGGAACAGTATACTGATAACTCTTCAGAGCGCAGTACACGCAGGACACGGATGGGTTTAAAATGCTTTCTCTTGCTTACTGAAATATCTGTCCTAAACAGCTAAAAACATTAATTGTGAGCGTGGATTGACCTCTCTGCAGTGTATCCTCCAGTGCATTGATATTAACCTTTTACAACGAGCAGGGACATTTAGGGAAACTTTCCACCCAAATTCCATTCTAAAATACACCTAGGACTGCACAAGGCTAGAAGGTGAAGTTAGAAGTAATCACCTCTAAAAACAAAGCTAAACAGTTAAATAGAAAGAGACTGGTTCAGCCACATCTGTTTCCCCGTGCTACATCTATGATGGCTTTTGGAGACCTGTGGGAATTTGGTAGGTTCGTCCAGTTCTGAGTATATCTTTTATAAAAGCCCTGTCCCCATCACTTGGTCCACTTGTTTGCAGGGAAATCAGGTATGGGAGAGGGGACAGGCCACAGAAACTCCCTTTTCTCCCTGTACTGCATGACTGGAAGTAGCAGTTGTGTATGGAGTCCTGCAAAGATGAATAGCAAAGGAAGAGTCTCTGCCCCAGGCAACTTGCAGCCCAAACTGACAAGCTAGGGGAAGTGCTGTCACCCTGTTCACAGCATGGGGAGAGTGGTCCACAGCCACTAGCAGAGAAACCCTGGACTCAGCTCCCAGCTGAGTTTTAAGTCAGCGTCTTGGCCTCAGGACTGTCCTTCCTCTCTGACTGAACAGAAACAGGATGGGCTCTCTGTCTCTTTGGCCACTGCCTGAGATCTGTGTGCAAGACTTGGCTTGCTGAGGTGCATAGCAGCAATCCCCTTCTGCAGGGTGGCAGCTGCTCCTAAACTATGTGTATGCCTAGATGTGTAATCATATTTCTTGTGTTATTTTGCATAACTCTTTCTGCAATAGAGGTCATCCTTCTGCTGTGTTTTATAGTTAGGGGGAGCCATGGCACCAGCATTGAAGGAATTGCCAAGGTGGCTTGATGCAAACTTGGAGTATGCTGTTGCAGCTGACTGGGCTGACATTGTTAAGCTTTCAGTAAGTTAGAGCTTTTGGAGAAATCTGTATCATGTCATCTTTTCTTTCTTCTCCCCATCCCCACAAACTTTCTCCAGTGAGTGTTCTTGAGTTGGAAGGCAGGACTTCAGCTGCGCAGGTGGGAGGGAATATCAGCAGGTCTGACCGCACTTGATGCGGTCGAGCGGCAGATAGGAAGGTTTGGAGCGTGCTGCAAGTCAGCAGAGCAGACAGGGGAAGGAGAGGTGTTCAGTGTCCTGCGAATGGGATACAGCAGTTAAGGGTGAATGTCCAGAAAGCCTTCCTTAGCAGTAGGACCTGGAAGTCTTGGGCTATTTAGAAATAGATGGGCAACAGAAAAGTACTAAAGGCAGTAAATCCAACTCAGGCCCTGGATGGAAGCCAGGGCAACGAGTGGACAAAACGTGTTTCCATGGGTCAAATTTTCAAAATACCCTCGGCCTCGCCTTTTAATCGGCTCCTGCAAACTCTGTGGGTACAACCCTGAGCCTGCTCACAGACACGTAGGTCACAAGACCCGAAGACTCAAACATAGCTGGGAAAAGAGGCAGAAGACAGCAAGGCTTACTTCAGACTTGCCCCGCTGCGTTTGGTTTCCCTGTTTGTTGTGCGAGTCCCTGTCTTGGTGAGTGGAAGAATCCACGGAGGAGAGCTTTTCCCTCCAGCACTCTGGGACTGCCATTTCCAGGCTTGTCCTTTTGGCCCCTCTCTCCTGCTCCTTGTTTTTTGTGGCTGCGGTACTTTGTGTGACGCCTGGAGGAGGAAACAATTGGCTTAGAAGTTTGTACTGCTCTCAAATTGGCTTTTAATTAGTGCTGGAAATCGGCTTCGGCTTGGCCTGTCCCTCTCTCTCAGGAAACAGAGCTCTACATCCAGGCTGGCATCAGCCCCCCGTCTAGGCAGCCGGCACCCAGTGCAAGCTGGCTGGTGTTCATTATCCTCATTTTCCGTGGGCAGTCTCAGCGTGGGCCCACACTTTGCTCATTGCAATACCTGCGTGCCTGGCCACTGGTACCTTCATCCACTCCCATTTACTAGTCCAGCAGCTGCATGTCTGTTAGCATTTGCACCCTCGAGCCCCATCAGTACTTTGCTTTTTGCAAATGCGCATCGATCATTCTAACACGTGCGTGCAGAAAGATGTCTCACTGTTAAGGGGGCTTGGGAAGCGTGAGCATGGGCTAGTTTGCACCTGCAGAGCCTAGGCATATTCATAGTCCCATGCAGTTTTTCACGTGTACCAGTGGAGACAGAGTAGAAAATTCTGGCTCTTTGGACAGTAGTTGTGCTGTGCAAACTTGCAGAATCATTTGATGCAACTTTCTGCACTCCGGGTGTCAATGTGGAATACTTTTCATATACAGATCTGTTATTTGGAAGTGGCTGTTATTCAAACCTATTATTTGAAACTGTTAAAAGACTGGCTGTCTTTGAACTTCAAGGAAGGCATAAAAGGAACATTTAAACGTTTGTGATGAGAACACTGAAAAACGGAGTTTTAAACTGCACTGTGGATCTCCCCACATTGTTTTCTCTAACAAGACAGTCTCACTAAGTTGTGTCCATTTGGTTTTAGTCCCGTATTTGAGTGTTCAGAAAAACCTTAGTGGCAAATCAGTGGAGCTCTTACTTTGACCTCCACAAAATGGCATGCACACTGTTTGCATGTCATTTCATGCAGTTTTGCTGTTCTGCAGGGCATTGAAAATTTGGCCCTTAGCATTTCAAGATACATGTTTTTTCACTGTTACTGAAGCCAAAATTGATGCTAGGATGGGAATGAATTCGGAGTCTCTGACGCAATGTTTCTCATATTATGTAAGATGTCAGTCTTCAGCAACAGCTGATGCTGAGGGCTCAGGAAGAAGCTGAAAGGCTGCTGTCTGCACTGGGTAAAAAAGTGCTTCCGCATTTCTTCTGTATGCGCTTTGACACTGCAGCATCATACCGGGGCGCAGTGGGCGTTTTGCATTTGGCAGCATCTTGTGGGGGAAGGTTGTGTATACCTCACAAATTCCATATCGAGAATCATGTAGGCAAATATTTTTGTGCTGACACCATCTGGGATGCAGACATAAGAACAGAAAAGCCAGATTTCACTTGATGCAGTAATAACTGTTAGGCATTTTCTCTTGTGTGTGTTTCATTTTCAGGGATACTTACCAGAAAATAAATTCAATCGTATCCTCACTGAGCCTGTGCTCCGAGATGCAGGGCCCCGTCGGAGGGGGAGAAGGCCCAGAAGTGAACTCATTAAAGCCCCTGGTGTTATAGCAGATTCTTCTTCTGGTATGGGACCATTATTCATGAATGGACTGATTGCTGGAATGGATCTAGTAGGACTTCAGAACATGAGAAACATGCAAGGTATCCCTCTAACGGGGCTGGTTGGGTTTCCTGCTGGATTTGCAGCAGTGCCTGCTGGTGAGGATGTGAAAAGCACCCTAAGTATGTTGCCTATGATGCTGCCAGGCATGGCTACCGTACCACAGATGTTTGGTGTTGGAGGACTTCTCAACCCACCAATGACAACTACTTGTACTGCAACTGCTCCAACTTCATTAACAAGCACAACTAAAAGTGGTACATCAAATACAGAAAAAGCTACTGAGGATAAACAGAGTAGCCAGGATGTGAAAAAAGAAACTCTCTCTGAAGACAAGCCTGGTCCTAGTTCGTTTTCTAATCAGACAGAATCTGCAATAACTACCAGTAGTCCTGTAGCTTTTAACCCGTTTCTTATCCCAGGAATGTCACCTGGACTGATCTATCCATCAATGTTTCTTTCCCCTGGCATTGGCATGGCATTGCCAGGCATACAGCAAACCAGACATTGTGAGGCAGCAAACCTAGAAAGCCAGAAGCGTAAGAGAAAGAAAGCTAAAGGGGAATCAGCAAATCCGGAACCAGAAACTGTCTTGCTGTCTGAAAAGGAAGCTGCAAGCAGTCAAAACTGTACAGAGCAAACACCACCTTTGTCAACAGAGAAACAGCAGGATGTACCAGCAGAGGAGGAGTTAAAAGAAGTTAATGATACCAATTAGAACTTTTGTTTCATTGAACAGATTGTGGCTTGTAAGGTTCTTATCCCATAACTATTTGTTACTTACCCTCCCGCCCCCACTTCACCTTCATAAACCTGTGTTTCCATGAGTAATATTATCTACCTAATTCCCTGTAAGAAAACTATGGTGACATATTATATGTTAATAGTTGCAGGGTCTTGCCACTTTATTAGATAAACAGTGTTGTCTAGCTAGTATGGGAGGCACAGAATTTGCGTTCTGTTATCCGGTTGTTCATCCCAGCCAGCAATAGCAAATCCAGTACTTGGTCACCCCCAAAACTGCTCACTTATGTGAGAAGAAAAAGAAGCAAAAACAGGGCAAAAGAAAAGTCTTTACCTCTTGATCTAAATGCAGACAAGGGTATTTCTTTCTACAGTGACACTGAATGAAAAAGCCTGTACTTGGGGGTAAAAAGCACAGCTATAGTAAGTGCTAATGTGTATTTTTGATTTAAAGTATTTCCCTATTTTATCATGGTTACTAGAATAGTAGTATAGACAGAAGTATATAATTAATGATTGAAAATGCATATATTCATTTCTTTGAAACAAAAAGACATAACTGGTAGTGATATAATTTCTTTACCACCCCCACCTCAAACTTTTGGAGACAAACTACAGTGAGTGAAAATATTACGTAGCCATTATTTTGTATTTTTTAAAACCAAAGTTTGGTTTTATGTTAAGTGGAGTTTTAGTTGCCCTTTCCTTGGTAGTTACAAGAACTTTTCAGCTTGAGCTGAAAATGTTTTGCACATCTTGCATGACTTTTATTGGGATTACTGTACCTAGAGCTACCAGTTTCTTCATCATTCTGCTAGTATTCAGTTCTCATCTATGGCGTTAGTTCTCATCTATGGCATTAGAAGTGCTGTAAAGTTATTTTTTCCAGACATGAACAGGCCACACTGATTTTAATGCTCTTATATGAACACTGAGGCTTTTTGAGTTTTTATACTTTACAATCCCTACCCCGGAAGCAATGTCTTTTCAGAAGACAAGGAAAAAAGCTGTAGGCCAGCTTTACTATTTTGAGAGTCCTTTAAGAAGGACTGTTGAGATTTTCAAAGCTTGAGTTTATTCTTCTTTTCTAGTGTTAGACTGTGAAGAGATCACCTTGGCTTCTTCTTTCCATTCCTCTCTGGTCTATTTGCTGTTGAGCAGTATTTTCAAGCACCCCCATTGGCAAATCGTTTTGATGTATGCGTTTTAAATGGACAGGTCTTTAATGCAAACGGTCCCCGTGCCCCCCACCCCAAAACTCTGTGTATTGAGACACCTCCACAGGCAACTCTCTTATTTCTTCTTCCCCTCGCTTGTCGTTTAATTTTTCTTTCACTTGGGCTTGTTCTTATTTGCAGCTCATGGTTTGAGACTTGAAGTAAACACACGTGGTGCAGCGGCGAAACGGCAGTCTGTTGAGGGAGTCGGAAGTGTGCTAGTAATCAGTTTCACATTTGGTTGTCACAATTTACTGTATTTTTTACTTATTTTCTGTTACAGTTTTGCTAATTTATCAGATGGTCCAAATGTTTTGACATAACTATTTCAGTTTGCATTATTTATTTATGATGCTTTTTGTCATTGTCTTTTATACATCTGGGATTATAAATTATGTACATGTTAAAATTAGCATCTCAAAGAAGTCTGTTACCCATGATCTAAAAAGCATTTGAGTTTATATTTTCATGGAATTTATTCCCAGTTTACTGGATTGGATTTTTTTTTTTTTTTAAAGTATGTAACCAATCATAACGCACCCCCCCGGTAATTAAATGTGTTCTATTTAATAACATTCTTGTAGCATAGATACTGTATCACTGTCGACAGATTTCTTAGAAATGCTGCTATCTCTATTTAACTAACATTTTATTCAGTTTTGCCTCCAGTGGAAGCAGAAAGGGTTTTTTCAGCTGTTAAATCCAAAATCAATATAATTTATTTATGTAAAAAAAAAAAAATCACATGATTGATATATTTTTGAACCTTTTAAGTACTAACTTTCTTTTTATTCAGTAGAAGAACATGTACTTGCCCTAAATCCTTAAAATACAAATGCTATAAAACTTCATATATCTTCCAAGCCTTACTGTGAATGGATATAGAAATCTCTGTCCAGAGTCCATTTCTTGTATGGGATGGTTTTTCCAGGGTTACACTCATAAGGAACAGGGTTTAAAGTGAAATTTATTTAATTAGCCAGCATGCTCTATACCTTGTTCTTACTTGTCAGACATGTATGTTAAGTCTCTGGGTGTTTAGGCTTCTCTTTGACTGCTATTTTGTGACCCTTTTGCAATCTGATATACTCTGTGGATTATTTAGACTGTAAGGCATAAGTGGCTTCTTATTATTTTCCATCATATCCAAAACAAATGCCAAATTTTCACCCGTTTTCATGGATTCTCACACAAACATACATACTTCACCAAATGTGCTAACAAAATAAACTGTCTGTGCTCTTGAACATGGATAAAAAGAAAAGGATTTAAAAGTCAGATTTTTATTTTTTTAATTTAGTGACTAGGTGATGCTTATCTTTCAAACTTGGCAGAGCCTTGCTGCAGATGTATATAATTTTTTTCAGCAAATATATGTGAATGTTTAATTCACCTGACTCAGTGAGAAACATTACTTGCCTTTTTCCTCAGCATGAATACTACCAAAAAGCTGTTGCATACAGCATACTCTTCCTTCTTTAGGGTTGCTCATCACACACCAAGAGCTGCGTGTTATTTATGCTGGGGGATGACTAACCACAGCTGATTCACTAGCTTTTCCTGCACCTGAAGGAGGTTACCAGGCTAAAACTAAGCAAAACCAGCTGTATCCATCAGCTCTTGCTGCCTTTCATATCATGTAACGTAGGTTAACTTGCTGTACTGCTTGAATTAACTAGTGCACTGGAGTGGCCCAAGCTCCATGGCCACTTCAAGCGCAGGGCAGTGCCCAGGGGCTGTCTGTGACCCTCTTCACACAGACCATCGGGGGAAGTCTAGAAACTAGTTGTGAAACCCCCCGGTACCAACAATGCTCCTTCGCACTTCTGCAGCACCTCTCAGCAGAAGGGGGGCAGGGTGTTTGGTTTCTCTTACTGAGATATTAAGTGTCTCCATTTAAGCCTTGTAAAATGCTAATAGGTACCAAATAAATGCTTGTAATAAATCTCAATCTAAGGATCTCATGCTTTAGAAAAGTAGGTATTAATTCAGTTTTTTAGATGAATAAATAGATGCACAGAAAAAGCTAAATTATTTCTTTATGCTCAAAGAAAACTTAGAAAGCATGGAGCAAACCAAAACTCTTTGCTTGCTCCCTCTGCCCTTGCGTAAACACCTTCTCCTTACATTGTGTTGCTCTCTTTACTGCTGGGAAAGCACTGGGCATAAGTAGCACCAAAATGTTAAAAGCATTAGGTGTTGCTTGAACAGAGGCAGAGGAGAAAAAATGATGGTGTGAAATCAGAATTTCCTATTCCCACATCTCCCTTGCACACTGTAACTCCCTTACACGGCTCTGCACACTGTAACCTTCCATTATCTTCATCTTTTATGCAGAATACTTGCTTGAAGCATCTACAGAAATCAGGTAGTCCCTTGTTATATGAAGAATCATGCGTGCTGGAATTTAGACTCTCCATGATTCCCCCCTCTCCTGTAAAGCCGGTGGCAGCTGTAATGTGCTCTGTCTCATCAGATAAGCTTGTTACTTACTTTCTGGTAAGATGTTAATATATGCAGTTCTGCAAGACTGGGTGTTGACATGCACAGCTCTCTCTTTGGATTCGTTTTACAAGATACAGGTACTGCTTTTTGAAATGGTGCAGATTCCAGAGCATGAGGGGAGTAAAATGCCCGGCAGATGCTCCTCTTTGCTCTTTCATCCCTCGATGATTTTTTTATCTGATAGGACACAGAATAGAAAAGTATCATCTCACATTCGTGCAGTATATTTCATTCTGTTTACAGCCCCAAGAAAAGATTTCCCTCAGCATTGAACTAAAACTAGGCAAATATTACCGACTTTGAGGGCGGGCACTGCAGCTCTGATATCTTGAAAAAAGACACAAACAAAAAATTTTGGGTCCCGCTCAGGCTGCAGTGAACAGAGTGCAGTTCCTGAAATCAATTTTAGTTTGTGTCAGAAAGGAAACTTGGATTTTTCAGTGTGCATATATTTTCCACTTCATCAGGAACTTCTTCTATAGATGTGGTCAACTCCAATGCTGGGTAACGTGGGCTGAATCAAGAAAGATCCCATTAACGATCATCTTACATTTGTTGTTTACAGCTTTAAAACACTATTTCGTGCTTTCCACAACAAGGAAAACTAACGTAATCCCTGGCTGCTTTGCACCTTGCGTGTCGGTGCGCAATGAACACACAGCCACAGTCTGGTAGGGATGACAGGAATGAGTACGGGGCAGGGAAGCCAGGGCCACCAGTGCTGCAAGGGAAGGACTGCTCCTCTCATCCTCGTGACCTGGACAGAAGCAGACGGAGCAGCGGCTTTGAGAAGGGGATAGCAACTCTGGAGAATTAGTGGTAAGAGAAATCCACTCACATAGTGCCCTTTTCAGACTGCGTAGCTGGCCCAGAAGCCAGTGGGGCACCATCCTCCACTTCCCGCTATGTGAATTTTGGGAACTGGCAATTTCACTGCACACCCAAGGGTAGCTCAAGACCATCAGTGTGGTGCTAAGCAGCCGTTAATAACTGGAGAATCCAGCTCCTCTCAGCCCAAAAGGCATAAAGTAACCCAAGAACTCCAGTCCAGTAGAAAATCAGTTGCATTTCCCTGTCTCACACCGTTTGCAATCTAATTTGAATTTAACAAAAGGGGACTGGAATGGCTCAGTTTGGCACAATTAAGTGGCCTCTATTTGTCAGTGCTCTGGATAAGCACGATACGTTAGTGATTTAGCTTGGCATTCCAAGTTCCAATAACTAGTCTAGGTGAAGGTATCGGCTCATACAAGAATAGCACCATCCTTTGGGGAATTCTCAAGGAATAGCCCCAGTCTGTGTTGCAAGAGCATCTGAGAAGAGTGGGAGTCTGCAGCACATGCTCTGCAAAGTGTTTTGTCATCTGTCTTGGCTCCTGCAAAGCATTTGACCAATATGTTTTTCATCTGACAGGTATCTTGGATATGTTGTAGCAAAAAGAGGCGTTTTACAGGAATAGCCTCTACCATTTAGAAAGACAAATTTTAAAAGCAAAAGCCCCCACAGTGACTAACTTCATTTTTTGAGAAAAAGAACCCAGATTTCTAATATCCGAGCAGATGTATATATCAAACAAAAGAAAAACTCAGGTCCCCTCATAGAAGGCCTTTCCTTCTGCTTCTTTGTACCCGGAGGAATAAATACGACTGTGGGATTCTGATTAGTAAACTGCTTTATCAGAGTAAATGCTCTTCTCATATATTTTCATGGCATTCAGTTTTTCTTTCTCTGAGAGCAAATCTTTTTCAAACATATGTAGGTGCTTGGATTAAAGCTAGTATTTAGGTTAAGCAACAGTTTCAAAAGCCTCCAAGTTGAACCGATTTTCAGTGAGAAACAGGCTCTACTATAGCGTGGCTCCTTTTTTACCCAAAGTACTGACAGCTTTAGGTAACTAAAGACTATTAACTCTTGCGTGGGAACAATCTATGTGGCAACTGCAAACAAAGTTGTTGCGTTGCCATTTGTGTGTAATTCC